GTATGCTATTAGTTTTTGTCCTTCTCTTTAATTTTGACAACTTTGATTTCTACAACAACATGTATTTAATCCTTAACTTTCCCCAGTTAAGAGCAATCTTCTATAAGAAAATTACTTGAAACATGCATATACTGGTTGATTGAAAGTTTTTTGGTTTACGCCAAGTCGGCCGCATTTCAACCATGTTTTAGCTTGCATATAAAGCTGACATACTTTGATTGTTTTGTTTTGAACATATTTTATTGACAATGAAAGGGATCAGAAACAAGTTTTATCAACTTACTTAAATTTTCAATAGGTAGGAAAACCTTTCTATATTGTATACAACATTCGTAAGACCTACACTCGAATATGCTTGAGTTGTCTGGGATGGCTGCTCTTTATCTGATGTAGAAAAACTCGAAAAAGTACAATCAATGGCTGCTAGGATACAGTAGTTACTGGTCTGATCCAATATTAGCCTCAAGAGAATCACTTTTTTTTTAAACTTGATGGTACCTTTGAAGAACTGCCGTTACCTAGCAAAGTTGACTACAATATTCAAAATTAATAATTGTGATGTACCGGAATATATACGAGATATAGTCCCAAAGAAAAGAGAAAATATATCAAAATACAATACACGTAATAAAGATCAATGATCGATTCCAGGAGGCAGGTTAGAAATATTTCATAAGTCATTTGTATGTTTTAAATATTTTTAATATTCCAAACAATCAAAATGAATTTGAATTACCATACCTTTACTGGATTCCTAAACTACATAAATTCGATTTATGTAATAAATTACTTTATGACGACGAGTTTCCATGATTTTCATCGAAGCTACTATGTTAAGGCTTCCCGAAGCTTTAAAATGCGCTCAAAACATATGTCATTGCGAGGTCGGTTTTGGTTTTAATTTATAAGTATTGAACTTTAGTACTTCCAATTTATATAAAGGGTTTCCTATTAACATATTTGTTATGATATCACATGACTTTGTTGATCACGTGACGGTCATTTATAATTTTTTGAAGTGTTTCATATAAATCGCTTCGGCGCAGCTGATTAACACGATAATTATTAACATTTTGTTATATAAATAAACTCATCGTATCCTTGTGTATCCGAATTGTGCTTGGGAAAACTCATGGTATTACTTGGGTACAAAATATTTCCTGAGAAATTCAACTTACCTTCAAATTTGAGGGTATTTTCCAAACAATATCGTAATCTGTATTAAAACAAAGCCAACACACATTTTTTCCAAGCAAGATTCAGTTAGAGAACAACCTTTTCTTACAGATTTCCACAAAAATTCTCAGATTAATCCTCATTAATCACCTGCGTCAGACTCTTTTATACACACAAAATAAATTCTACCTCCAACCACGGGTATAAAACAGAGTACATTTCAAAAGTATATTTTTCATAAGCATTTTGAACATGCTGAATTTCACTCAAGGGTAGGTAAGCGTTGTTTTTTTTTTTAATATTCGGACATATAAGTCTTTTATAAAGACTTATAAACCTTTAACGATCCGTGAAATTTGCAAAAGATATCTAGCATGTTACATGCAGTTTGAAATAAAGTGTAAAGTTCATGACACTCTCCCCTTCATAACACCTCAAGTTTGCTGTGACTTGACGTCATTTTCCATTATGACGTCATATTTTGGTAGTTCAAAGATGTGAAGGCACAGAGTGCACTGTGATATTCTACGGGAAGCCTTAACCTACCTGCGATTTTGTCACCCCTTGGTGAGCATCACATTTTGTTAAGTCAGTTACCCGTATATAGCCTCTCAATTTTCCTTTGATTTCATTGGCTAAGAGATAGCGACCTTTCTGTATAATAAAGGAAGGAACATTCTTTGATTGAAAATTACGCGCTTCGCTTAAAAGATATCCGTGTATTAATATTTTTTTTCTACAAAAGAAAGGAAACTTAAGCATACAATTACTTACTAGATATAAAACTCAATAAATTCATTGGTTAAGTTGGAAAATTTAATGAAGAATTAATACTTATATCCATTTCTGTAGTGGGCGTTATTTCAACATATAGTGGTTGCAACCTTGTTTTGGATTTGAAATGCATAAATATTTCCATAGTGAACGTTATTCAATAGTGGTTGCAACCATGCTTTGTTTTTGAAATGATTTTAGCCACTATTGAAAGAATTGTTTCAACAGGGTATATTATTTCAATAGTGGTTGAAATGTATTCTCAATAGTTTTCAATAGTGGTTGCAACAACATGTCAAAATATAAAAGCGGGAGTTAGAGTCAGAGGAATCTCGGATGAACTCGATATTGACGTCACTATCATCAGAATTCCCATAGAGATCCGTCTTGTTGCGAGACCGGCAATCTAGTTGCATTTCGTTGTGATGTAACTGAGGAATTAAAAACTTCATTTTTCATCTGTTTTCCCTCCATATTATCTTGACAATTTTTAAAGCAGGAAAAGGGGGATCAACAGACGTTATCTTTCAGCGGGTATGTATGTAAATTAACCTTGTTATCTATAGTAAAGTGCGCAATAGCAAAGTTAGAAAGCCCTGAGGGCGACTCTCCATCCTTCCACGGCATATAAAGTACTACAGACATTTATTTTCTCTTGAATTCGGTTATTTGGCTCTAAAGTTTTTCTATAGCTATCTTTTCAATTTCTTTATTTTAGTATATTTTCTAGTATAAGGATCGATTTATTAAAGTAACGGAATATGTGAAATCCAGAGTCTGATAAAAAGACGACCATTTCATTCTGAAAGGGGGGGGGGGGGGCTGGCAAAATTTTTCGAGTCAGATTATTTATTTAAGGAATAACTGTCTAATTTTTTGGATTCATGATGTGATCAATCGAGTGGCTTGCGTGATAATTTGCATAAACGCCGAAGGCGTGTATGCATAAAATTATCACGCAAGCCAATCGATTGATCATCGTCATGAATCCAAAAAATCGGACAGTTATTCCTTATATTTACATGCTCCTGATTCTGCAAATTCCCGTGCTAATAGCCCCGCTTCTGTCTCTGTTTGTCCCGCCCCGCACGTGATTTCTTTTAACCGCGCCTATCGATGAACCAGTAGATTTATGTAGAAATAAAGTATTTTTACAATTTGTAGTTTTATCTCGGACAGAGACATTGGAAATGTAAATATATTCATGCCAATAAAGGACAGCTAGATTATTTATTTTCAACATTTTTGAGGACAGATTATTTTTTTTTCCAAAATCTGCCACCCCCCCCCCCCCTCCCCTCCCGTCAGAATCAAATGGTCGTCCCCTACCATTCATATCTAGTAATGAATCTAAGGTTTATCAAAATGAATAAAATGCATATGCAGAACAATTACATACTAGTATGATACCGCTATATATGTTGAACACACAGAATCAGGTACATTCTGCAAGCAAAGCTTCAAGATTGTGAACTGAGAATTTCTTCGATCCATGAATGAGAGATCTGGTTCCCGACTGCAAATTAAAATGGAAGTCTACTCACAATTCGTAACCTGACTAGTCAAAGTTCTGAGATTAAAAAAATGCATGCTTTGAAATAAGAATTCCTACGATTCCAGATTCTTCATGAAATACTATTATCAAGTTTGTTTCATTGCTGCCGCTTTCTTCGAATAAACTTGGTTTATTTTTAAAATGAAATACACAATAAATATTTACCAGTATAATTATGTATAGCCCACAACCTTGTGAGTGATTCCAGTCAAAAGAACTTCCACACCATCCCCTTTCCATTAGACATTTTGCTCTGCTAAATATATATATACAAACAAGAAAACATTGATGTAACCATCAATTGTCGCCCGGGAAATAAATAAAGTAAATAGTCGGTTTAAGAGCTCTACAGAGCTCATGTTCATTGTTAAACTTTGTAAAAAATGCCGACTTTAAATAAAATTTACTTACTTACTTACAATGGAAATGAGTCTTGATCATCAAACCGCTTCGATATGTGTGAAAAAGGCATGCGTCTAAATGATGGAGACGATAGTCGAGAATATTTTGAAAACCTATAGTCGGATGAAAATCGAACAAAAACGATAATCTTTTAAACTTTATCAATTCCTCAAGTAAATGTTGGCTGCATAGAATACAAATTGAAACCAGACACATGCATCACCTATTTTCAAAAATGTCTTTCACTTTAAGAATATAAAACACGAACTGTGTAAAGTACGTTTTTATGCGATAAGTAAAATTCGATGTTCTAAAAAAAGGTACCTGTCGTTTTTTCGATAGTAAATGATAAGCAACTTTATATATTAAATATGAAAAACATATATATTTTTACAGATTCACTTTATGGAAGTAAATATATTGTGTATCTCGTAATTTATAAAGGGAAAGAACATTCTGATTAACAATCTTTTTAATGTTTAGAAAACCTTTAACTCTGAATAACTTCTCCCACCTCAATTCCCATATACCAACACTTAAACTTATATGTATAGAGCAGCCCGGTCCTCCGGGCTGCAATAAAGCTCGAGCTCGGAATATTATACCCGTGGCTAGGAATAACCTGATTGTCTGTTCCTGATGTCGACTGCGTACAAGAAGATTGTGAGGACGTGCATGAAAAGGATTTTTTTTCAAAAATTGTCTTTGTTTTCATCGGCATCCAAAATAGTAAATAACATGTAAAAATTGCGAAAAAATTGAAGAAAATTTATATTATGAACACAGGCACTTGTTTCTGTAATAATTTTTTTTAACCCAGAGTATAATTATTATGTTATGTGTTAAAAATTTATTATCGAAACAAGTGCCTGTGATTATGAAGGATGAGGATGAAAATGAACCTAGATGATGGGAAACAATTTTTATGCACTGTACCCATACGGAGTGATATTAATATGGAATTGATTATCTGTGTTCTTTTGTCAAGATAAAGTGACATAAAACATTGATTTTCCGGAATTTCAAAATTTACCATCAACGGTTTTTACAAAAACTCAGGGGCATGCATTTCCGGTATTGATATTGCCAAAACAAAAAGGAAAACATTGACCTATCATTGATTGTCATCATTGTGTTGCTAATAATGTAAGTCTTAATTTTTTAAATGCTAGGCCTAAATTATTCGTATTATTGTTTGTAAAAACCCATTCAAAGATTGTAATATGGTTTATAAAATCTTTTACGTGAAATGTCACACAGCAAAAAGAGCGAAACATATATGGCAAGAAATTGGTACTGTGTTTTTAGGTCATACTTTTGTACCCTAGGGTACATCCCCTATTTATCCTTTAGCAATAAGGTTACAAAAAGGTTACAGTATAAAACCATTGAAAAATGAAAGTAGAAAATTTCTGAAGGACTGTTAACGTGACCTGGTTACAGTGGGTACAGAAGTTACTTAATAATACAAATTCTACTTTTATTATTATATATATTATCTAGATTCTGAATGTAACCAGGGTACAGAAGGTACTATGGCTACATGATTTACATTTCTAAAATTTTACATTATTGACATATATGACCTTTGGCACGCAGCAACCAAGTTTCCTATTGACCTTAAGATTTGGAAACAAAGGGTCACAACCAAATATACATAGCACAGTATAAGAGACCCAAAGGATATATTAAATGCAAATTTTAAAGTGTAAAATTTCAAAATTTTAAATTGTAAAATTTTAGCTCCTTACCTGATATTTAATTATGATTAATAGTCCAATGTTCTTAAAAACATTATCAATTAACTTCAGCATTGCATGCTACACTGGCCACCTGCTACCTATCACATATCATTTACCTGTGACCCCACTCTGATTGGCAAACACAAACTCACAGTGCCTGATGATGTACAGTATACACAAACCCATTTATCAAATAAGAATTATAATGTATGTGTACTATTCATTGTGATCAGTGTTGTTTTCATAACAATTAATATTATTGCTGGAGAATTTTTTAGTAACTGTTCTATGTCAGGTCAGATTATATATAGTTTTATTTATTTTACCTATCTTTGATAAACAAAACTAGCATTATCATAATAATTAAGTTTGATTTTTGTGTGAAATAACATTAACCTAAAAATTACATACCTTAGATGTCAGTCAGAAATTATCACAGAGTAATGTTATCTTTATAGAATCGAGCAAATCAGCTTATTATTATTTTTTTTTTGTACAATTTTTTTTTCATTTCTTGTAGTGAAAGTCATATTGGCTAGCTAGTATACCACTATAGTATAATACTATAAAAAAGTGTTTATATGAGTTGGCCTCTATAGACTTTCAAATATAGTTATATATATATAGCCTTGAAAATATATTGAAATTTCAAAATTACTCTGGTATTGTTTTATTCCATCTAAATTTCATGCTAATTTTCTCTTCATTTTTCTTTTGTGTATTTTCTCTTTCAGTAATTTCTTCTCATTACCGGTAGTCATATATAACTGTATAAATTTAATCAATAATAGTTAATAAGAATTAATTCATATTGAAAGAAAAATCATACTATATAGGTCTACATGTACTTTTTACAAGGTAGTGTACATGCATTCATTCTTTTACTGGTCATTAAGCAATTATATAATGCCTCTCCTATGGATATTCAGAAATTATATACAGTGTATGTTATAGGATAAATCTTCATGTACCTAGGGGACAAACTTTTGATTCAGAGGGGAGGGAATATGGCAATTTTTTTTTTTTGTTAGATTATTTATTTCTATGTCGGTGAAGCTTCATTTACAAGAGGATCATGGACAGCTCTATTATAAATTTCATTCACTGAAAAAAAAAATTGATGAGCAAAAAAGAAAAAAACAACAAAAAAAGTGGGAAGAGGGGTGGAAGGAAATTTGGTTGTTAGAGAAAGACAATTTTTAATAAACCATGTCGTATTGCTAAGTGAATCAGACACAGGAGATTTATAATTATGCAGTACAGTGTAACAGTCCAGTGATTTGACAGACTGGTTGCATAGTTATTGAACCTGATTATTACAGTTGATATTTGTAGAAATGTTGAGGTGAGCTTGTATATGTGCATATTTACTTGACATTGAAGGAATATGTATATGTTATGCTTTCCATGTAGTTGATAGGTGATTACTGACAAGTTTAACTTTAAGTGATTTGTATTTGTTTCGTTGGAATAGTTTGTGCACATGTTTTGAGTTATGTAGGAATCAGCAAAAAAGTTGTAGTATTTTAGCTTAAAGTTGCCAGGGACTTTTAATTGGTATTCCGTAGTAGATAATCCATAAATTTCTGGAAGATTTCTTGTTTTCCTGTAGTTTAACTTGTTTTCAGTTGATTTTCAGTGGTTTATTGTCCAGTTATTCTGAATTGTTTACAAACTTGGTCGCAGGTCGAGCCCGATCATAAAAGTTCGATAGATTAGGGATGTTTGGAGTTAATTGTGTTATTTCATGGACAATGATTAGCCTATTTCCATTTAGGAATGCATTTGGTGATAGTTTAAAATCAGAATAATGTTTTGTATGTTGTTATTAGATTTTTCTATGAACTTTGCTACTTACGGGAAATGTCATGTGAGATTCTCCAACATCTTCCGACATTTCCAACGTTTTCCAACTTGTACGTCATGTTTTTAATTTTTTTTTTAAAAGAAGAGATTCAAGGAATTTTTGCTCTTCTGTTATGATCATTTATTTAGATATTCTGGGTTTTTGTGGTAAGAAGTAAGCATAGGTTGGGCGTTTTTTAATTCAGACTTAAAAATGACTAATTTTATTGAAAAAGAGCCAGGGATACTTCCAGCTCATTTTAGGAACTTCTGGAATATTTGTGGAAGTTCTGGTCAATTTTAGTGACATTACATGTATTAACATTTGCTGTTTGTTAGAATTTTTGGTAAATTGGTGATAAATTTGAAAATTAAATAAATTAAATTATTAGAAATTCTTTTCATTAGATTTTAGGTAATTTTAATTAATACATTTAGCTGAGGATTTCTAAATTTTGCTATTGTTTTATAATGGAATTCAGATTTGGGAATTTTCAGGAATTTTACGAGTGATTAGGAAATTTAATTATTAGGAAATTATTGGTTTTTAATTTTCATCCAGTAGGTCTAAGAGAAATTTTGAGAATTAGGAATTTAAACTTTGAAGTTTTACTTTTCCAACATAAGCATTGTGGGAAAAGTTGGTTATATATACAGACAGTGACTATAGAGACAGACTGATACAGAGTTTAGATTTGTTATTGCTTGTTTATTTGAGAGATAATCTAAAATTGTATTTTATCTTATTCCAAGATTTACAAGGGTTTCTAACTTGAAGATTTCTAGCTAAGCTGGGAATGTGGGATATATTAGTAAAGATTAAGTTAGAAGATTCTGGGTACATAGAGAGAATTTTATTGACTGAGAGATTTTAATTCATTTATTAATAAATTTAGAGTAACTTAGAGAGTGTGAGTTAATAATAGGAGGTATAGGTTGTAGACAGTGGAGATTGATTGAGTTGAGTAGTCTAAAGATTATTGATTATAAAGGGAAATAATTTAGAATTTAACACAGTGTCAATTAAAGGGAGGTGATTAAGTGTTGTTAAGTAAGTATTAAATTTGAAACCATTGTGCCACACAAGCCCTTCTTAGCTCAGATGAGTCTGAGAGAGTATGGGTAGACCTGTTACAACAGGATCATATATTGCTTTCATTTCTTTCATTAGTTGGGAATTTGTGAAAACCTGCTAGTTTTTCACTAGCCCATAAATTTCTAAATCTGCATGAGACCATTTTTACTAACTTTATTATAATCCCCGGGCATCAATCAGGATAGTGAGTTTTTGTGAAGAATATTACTCCAGTTCAAAACTATACTTCATGATCCTAAAAATATTGGGAAGTGGTGTTTGTTTAATTTGGATAATTTTAATGATGAAGACTCCCAGGAATAAACATATCAAAAGTCATGCCATCTAAATGAAGATCATATTTTATTATGAGCTGAAGTGGAAACCTTCATCAAAATTCATAGAGAAAAGATTTATAAGGCATATATATTAAAGCTGACAATACCTAATAAAATGGTTTATATGGCATATAGCTCAGACTGCTTATTAGTTTAGATACTACAATGTAATTATAGTAAGGAAGTAAGTAATCATTTAGCATAATAGTGACATTGTGCATTATAAGCATTGTAAGTTATATATTGAAATCAAAATAAACATTAAACTAAACTGCACCCGGTCCATTGGACCTATAAGCATGCAGATAAATCACTTTTCCATTAAATTATGTAGAGATTTGTTTCTACGGATAAAAGCTGTGGATATAAATTTGGCTGATTTTATCTGGTAATTTTGATTTAACAAATTGAACAAATAATGAGTATTATTATTTTGATGTCAGACCAGTGTATATATAATCTATACTGTTTGGCGATCTGGTTTGTGGTCCAAAGTGTTAAAAAGTGGTATAGATGGTAAATGTCTAAGATTTATCAAAAATATGTACAGTGGTATTAAATCAAAGATAAATATTGATAAAAATATCTCTGAATTTTTCATGTGTAACCTTGGGGTAAGACAAGGGGAGAATTTATCCCCATTTCTTTTTACTTTATATATTAACAATTTAGAAAACTATTTATTGCAGAATGGTACCAAATTCTATGTATTATTTTCCAAATCACTCAAAAGGATCAAGATTATGACATATACTGCTTTTAAATATACAAAATGAATAGGAAAATCTAGTTTATATCAACTGAAACAATGTGATTTCATTGAATTATCATTATTAAATTGGAAAGATGTATGCTCTATATATAGTGTAAAATGTATTACTATAAATGGAATCACACAAAAAGAGTAAAATAATGTGTGTGGAAGGGGGCTTAATTACAACATTGCTGAATGTGTATAATGCAGATCTGTTGATTCAGATGAGGATCGGTTGGTAAGGACACTCAGTATACACTGTACCTATTGTTCTCCTGAGCAGGTGTGAAACTGTAAAACCTTGCAATTCACATAGAATATACAAGAAATATACAGATCTCCTTATGTTCTTCATAGGAAAGGTGTGAAAATTAAAATCCCTTGCAATTTAC